ACTTGGTGGCGGGGGGGGGGTAGCACCATCCCGGGAGGCAGGGCTCAGCAGCTGGGCGATGGTACATGCACCCGCGCGGCGTGCCGGTCCCCGCCCGGCCGTCGGGAAACCTCGCACATCCACCCCGATGTGATCCTGCCTTGGGCGCGAATATGAATTTCAGCTGTGGGTCACCCCCCACGCTCAGCGCGGGAGCGGCGGGGCCGGTCCTGTCTGCGGGAGCGCAGGTGAGGGCGGATAACATGGCTTCCCTCTCACCCCGAGCTAATGGCTGCAGAGAACAAGTCTTCTTCACACATTTGAAATGTTAGCCATGCATTTCACGCCGCCTGGGAACGGGCAGCTAGAGCAATAAGCTTTGTGAATTTAAGAGGAAACCCAAACAGGACAAGAGGGATCAAAATCGAAATTATATTCCATGTAACATTCTATTATACTCCAATTTTCAACACGATTATGGTGATTCAGAGGACAGTGTCTTAGTTTGAGGAAACAAATAGCTCTTCCAGCAGTGATGCACTTTTACCTACGAAAAACAAGTAGGGATCGTGTTGATAGCTACTGCATAATTGGTTTGAAAGGATATAATATTTTAACATGTTGTAAAGCCATACTATATTGTTTTTAATTCAACATGTTGTGTGAACTAGTGAAAAAAGCGGTCTTGAGACTGTTTAATGAAACCCCTGATTTCTCTGTGTAACAACTCTTAGTGGCCGATTATGAAACACTAACAGTTTCCTCGTGAAGAACCAAACCACGTGGAACATGGGAGAGCACACAACTGCAACTTTCATTCAATTAAAGGGTTCAGGAATTTCCAAATGGCAAATATACTTTTAGGGCCCATCCCCAGGTTTGTAGGAAGAGCTGAACTCAAAGTTCAGCCAGAACTCCACTAATCCAGTGCACCGTTCTCTTCACCAACAGATCAGAGTCCAGCACAAACTGGCAAAATGAAGCTGCCCTCATATGTTTCCACTCACTTCCCCTTAGGCATGCCCTTTCTCCTTCATTTTATTCACTCCCCATTCAAATAAGTGTTGGTTTGTTTTTTTTAAACAAACAAAAAAGAAACTTTGTCATTCTGTTCTACTAATTGTATTTTACTATATATATATATGACATCTATCTCATGTATAGACTACCCATCTGTAACATAATACATCTATAATATGCATAATACCTGTATATGTACATATATAATACATATATAAGAATACGTGAGGCTAAATCTTGACATACTAGTCAGCGTACAAGTGTGTAGCCCCAGTGCTCTTTTTTTTCAGCCCTCTTGAGCCACACCAATACACTCTTTACCTCATTCCATTCCAGCTAGTCAATCTACTTGCCAATGATGTAAGTAGTATCATCTAACCACAGAACCATAGCATCTGAATGCCTCTGCCCCTGCAGACACTAACCAAGAACCACTTCCTCTTCCTCATCAAATTCTTTCCCTTGACAACTTTTGTTCCTCCTCCCTAAAGGGATGTGCGAGCCAGAAGTTGAAAGTCTTACAGCGTACCGACCTTCCCCTCCTTCTCTCATTGAGGAGGAGGAATCAGGTCCTACACTTAAGAGTTCTTAGAAGCTAACTTCCATTGACGCCGAGATGAAATATACCAAAATCAGCAAGATTAAGAGTAGGCTACTTGTAGAAGTTGAAGTCTTGCAGTTTTATGCAGCTTAGTACAAAAAGTTTAGTGGTAGCCCTGTCATAAATACATTGTTCTGCCTCCCTGCTGTGGTGGAAATAGAGATTGACCAACACTGTAAGGAACAAGCCACCTACAGATGTCATTCTGCTTCTCTCTTATTTCATGACCACTTTTGTAATTCCTTTCACTTCCCAAATTTGAAGATATCTCTATTATTAGAAATGGGAATTTAGTCCTCTCTTCTGAAGTGTTTTCATCCATTTGTACTTCAATAATAATAATAATAATGTTTCTTTGCAAAGTGATTCAATGACCACAATTACCAGGCATGCTCTACGTTAGAAGCGAGACGATTCCACGTTCTAATTGAGCCCTTCACTTGTTCAACTGAAGGCATATTTTTCTGAACTTCCTTAATTAAATTGTCCTCCTACACTCTTCTGAAGCGCATAGCTTTGGACTTTCTCCTCTTACAGCTTGTTCCTCCTAAACAGAACAGCTCCCTGACAACATCTTCTCTTGTCTGTGCCTTTTCTACATTGGTGTAAATTCCACCATATTAAACGTTTAGTCTTTCAAAAGACAGTTTATGCATCTTCTACAATACAATTTCCAAATTTGTAAAAGTTCTTCTTCATATCAGATGAAATGTGGTTTTTCTTTAACCCGTGTCTAAATTTGCTAGCATTAAAAATGTTAAATGCACATCCTGAAATCTGGTGTCCTTATAGTCTTAAAATTCAGCTTTAAACTTAAACACTATATTAAAATTGGCATCGTAGGATTCAGTGTCTTTGTGTCTCCCCTCTACTTAATTTCACTGAGTAAACTGAAGTGGAATTAGAGGAAAGGCCCACACATAGATAAACAGCTAGGAAAAGAGAAGGGTAGAATTAAATGCTTACAGCAAAGTCTAGAAAATATTTGTGCTTGTGCCTGCTTTGCTCAGCACACACATAAATGAAGTAGAAAAGGCGGCAAATAGTGAGGCTTTTTTAACAATATTTGTCAGTCTGGATAATTAAGATAACGGGTCATTATACAGGACTGCAGAAGATCTCAAGGTCAGTACACTTTCTGGCCAGGTAGTGAGTTTCAGCAGTCATTTCAGACAAATGTGAAATGATGCACATGAGCAAGTGGGAAAGGAGGGGGAATGATTACTTTTTGTTAACATATACAATGATGGAGTTAGAGTAAATACATCTATGAAAATGTCGGTTTGATGCAGCAGCAGCCCAAAAACAAGTCAGTGTTAAACAGTTTTAAGAAAGGAAAAGAATAAAATAGAAAATACCATTATCCTATACCAGAAGCTATGGTACAGTCATGTTCCAGTTTCCCTCCCTTTCCTCATCTCAAAAAGAATGAGGTAGATAGGGTACGCAGAAGGACAGCAAGTCTGATCAATCATGTAAGGCGGTTCTGATCAACGAACAAATAAACAGACCAGGATTTTTCAGTGGGAGAAAGAGAGGAGTAGAGGGAAGCCTCTATGATAGAAGTAAGGAATGGATATGATAGGAGCATCCTATGATAGTGCCTAAAATAGAAATCTATAAAAACAGGAGTGGCTCGGGAAGTTCCTGAGGAGACAACTGCTAGAGACTGGGTAGGTTCAAATCAGGTGCCCAAAGCGGCATTTGAGATGTCCTTGGGGATCCCACCTGGCATCCAGCTACCACTCCAGAAGAGCGCAAGGCCCTTCCACATTTTGACATGCGTTTGCCATCCCCATAAGGATGTCTCAAGTATTCTAGGTCACCTGAAATAGCTCTAAAGGTCTGTGCTTAGGCAAGAGAAAAGAAGCCACTTGGGAGGTAGCTAGCATTACTAGCTGTTGTCGCAGGAGACAAGCTGCCAATCCTCAGGTTAACCCACATGTCACAAAGCTGATGTATACTCCAGCTAGCCCCAAGTGAGCTGCACTGTGCTGTGTAGTCACACCAACACCATCGCTGTGGGCAGAGGCCACAATGACACAGCCTCACTCTTTCTGGGACTGAGCTAGCTTAGGCATTTCTTTGCAGTACTGCACCTCATAATGTAGACACAGCATAAAGCTAAATATTATTACTACTAAAAACAAAGCTCCTGGTGTTTGTCTCAATGGAAACCTCATTTGAAGGTGGTATAGTTACAGACATGACTGTATGTATGTAGAATTAAGATATTACAAAAGAGAGAACCCAATCACGGGTTGAGTTTTTACAGCTAGTAGGTAAAAATTTCTCCTGTGTTTTTAATACCAGTATATTTTGCGTGGAAATCAAAGATACAGAAGCCACAGAACTTAAACATGTCAATAATTTTTGAGAGAAAAGCTTTTCTTAAGATTATTTTTTGTTGTCAGTAAATCAAAATAGCACAATATCTCACATTTACTGTAATTCTGAAGAAAACTATGGTTAAAAATAGCTATAGCAGTCTTTCCCTTTTTCTCCTTTCTACAGTATTCTCACCAACCAAGAATTTTACATTCTGACGCTATTCAAAAAGTTGCAGCAAACACAGATGTTTCTGAAATGTGGGAGAATGATTTGCGCCCTATCCTGATAGAAAGATACTCAGGATCACCAGGAAATTATGTTGTACGACAGGTAAGGCAACATTTCCTGAAAACCTCTAAGAACATTTATTTTTTATATTCTGGTAGTACCTTTAGTGACCACTAAAGGGATGGACACCTTCCTTTCATTCGGTAAGATGATCTCTTATCATTGTTCAAGTCTGGACTGCGTAGAGCCTACATGACACAGCTTGCACTTCAGCTGACATTATTTCCCAGGGCTGCACAGCACAATGAAAAAAAAAATTAAAGTTAAAAAGAATGATTTTTAAATTTATGTTTTAAATTAAAAAGCTCACCTCAGGTTTGGTACCCAAAGTACAACACAACAGTTGTCCTTTCCCTCACATGCGCAGGCTTTTGGTCACTGGTTCAAACCCCCTGGGACCCTACACAGGGATGAAATAAATGACACCCCCCTGCCCTTTTTCTGGAGAGCTCCTGTGCTGTTACACTCCCCTGTAGCGTTGCCTCAGATGGGTGTGTCAACATGAAAAGGGATCAGAGGGGCTCAAACGGGCAGGCAGATGAAATGGTCAACATGGCAAAGTGCGGCACTGGTCCAAGTACCACGCTAGCTCCACTGGCCCAAGCACAGCAGCGTGTTAATGCTGGGCTAACATGCCCAGATTGCACCTGGCCCCAAGCCAGCAAGAGCTCCAGCACACTGTATTTGAGCCGAAAGGAGTTACCACACGACTGGGTTGCTGCCCTGTCGGCACCTCTGCTCTGCACTCACAGCGTGGGCATCTTCAGGACTGTGTGCCATGCTGGCTCTTGATTACATTAGCCAAGCGGAAGACTAAAACAGTGGTACGGCTGAGTTTACTAGAAGACATTCACAACATCTCACTACCCTTCATCTACCCTTCAGGCTGTGACTCGACAGCTCCAAGACAGCCCTAACTACAATAAGTTTATTTGCCACTCTGCAATTGGTAGACTGGAAAAATGCAGCTTTTTTGTGCTTTGTGTGTGTGTGTGTCTACGTGCGCATGTCTATAGATTTAGTGTTGTGGTTTCTTTGGTGATACCTTGGAAGGCAGCCATATGAAAGGGGAAAAAGTAAGAAAACCACAAATCATGTTCAAAATAGGATCATCCTGTTACAAGGTAACAGCACGTACTAAAGTAGACCCCCACCAAAGGAAAAAAAAGAAGAGTCCTCCATTGTCGAAGCACAGGGGAGTTTGAAATGGATGACATTTCTTTGTTAAGACACAGACAATGCATCAGACTCCTTTAAGGGAGAAGGCTAGTGCCAGTCACGGATAGTGCACGCTGAGGTGCATCCAGGTTTATATATTCCTCTTAATCCTTAACAGGTGTCCTTTGCTCAGCCTACAGATAGTGGATAGACCATACAATGTCATAAAAGCTTTCAGACCACAAACAAAATGGAAGGTTGTTCTAGCACTAAAATTAATGGCAGTATTCCCACTGACTTCACTGAGAGCAGGACAAGTCTTCAAAGTCTATTTTCTGTTTTCCCCTTAGAGGCTTTTCCTAATGTTTATTTAAAGAGAGAGGAATCTGCCTTGAAGAAGCACTCTAGGGACCCATAAAAATAAGTTGCTCAACAGAGATGGCCCTCTAATAAGAGTTAGCCAGAACTCTGTACTAAGTATAACTGGGGTTGTTAGAGGTACTCTCTTTAGGTAGGAAGTTACCTAAAATGAATGATGTCTTATAGGTTTACTGTGCTCATTTTTATCTTTACATGAGCTACATTTACCAGATTTTATTTTTAAAAGATTATTCTGAAATGTTTAAGTCTTTCTTTAATTTAAAGGAATCAGACTGTCTCTTACAGCCTTGTAAACAACTTATGCCACTTGACAGGCAGATTTCTCATAGAAGTTAAAAAAAAAAACAGACAGCTTTTTTTTTTATACTGGTGTGGCACCTATGCGTGGTAATTGTCGAAGTAGCCACAACAAGTTCTCTGCAGCCCGTTTTGACATTTAATTTAATGACACAACTGAGTTTAGATTTGAAGAGGTAAACATTAAATCTGTCCTGGTTACACCTGCAAAAACAATGGCCTGGAAACTTCAGAGATCAAGATCTTAATGTGTCATATGAATGGGCAATCTTTCAAAGCACCCTCAGACTCCAAAGACAAGAGGGAGAAATGAAAAGCAAGTGAGCCAGTCAGAGGCTAAGGTAGCAAAGATGTTGCTTACTTTATACAGTGACATTACATTTTTTGCTGTAAAATTTATCTTTTAAAAATACCATGAACTTACAGAAATGACAGATTGCCTGCAACATCTTTCTGAAGCAAGCAATATTAATCCGATATCTATTTTTTTTAATTGCAGCACATCAAGCACCGTCTTCAAAGATTACAAGCTGGTTGGGAAATTGAAGAAGATACATTTCAGAAATACACACCATATGGATATCAAACATTTTCAAATATTATCAGCACTCTCAACCCCTCTGCAAAACGCTATCTAGTACTTGCTTGCCACTACGACTCAAAATTCTTCGGACAACGATGGCAGGAGAGAGTGTTTGTAGGAGCAACTGATTCAGCTGTGCCTTGTGCTATGATATTGGAGCTGGCACGTGCCCTGGATAACAAGCTTCAGTTAATCAAGGTAGTTTGCTTGTTTCATTTTAATTTGTTTTTGCAATAGCAATAGGCCTTAGGGCACTTCCATGTTCTCTCCCACAGCCTGCGTGCCTGATTCTGTGATCGCTGTGCCTATAGTAAAACTCCCATTGACTTCAAGAAGAACAGAACAGAGATCTGTATCTACTACTTTAGAGTACATTATCCCATTAAAACTTCTTATGCAAAGGGTGGCTATCTAAAAATTATCTAATAAATGCATACTATATAAAAATAACAATTTATAGATGAATAATACGTGTTTCATAGACTCTGCGAGATATAATCCTACTTTCTATCTGAAAGACACATAACTCTACTCAGAAGCTCCTATTGTATACAGTAACATCTAGGGTCATTGACAAAGTTTTGTTCCTTTCTGAATCCTGCATTTTTAAAATCTCAATTGTATTCTGTTTTGGGAGATGGATGAACCAATGGCTGTGCAGGGGAGTTACACTCACGTCCCTCCATCCCATAATGATTTCAAGCTTTTTTCTTGTTTTCCTTTATCAATGTGAATAGTTTATTTATGAAAACTCATGGCCGAGTACAGGAAAACAGTCAAGTAATAGTATAATATTATCAGTCTGTGTTATCTATGCTATGAAAATCCACTTCAAAGTGCTGCCATTGCTGGGCACAAAAATCTGTTGATCCTACAAGCTCTAAAAGCTTGTAGGATTACAAATTTGTATGATTACAGATTAATGAGTGCCACCTACTGGTTCAGTATTTACTATTTACAGAAGAATACTTCTCATACACTAACAGAGCTTTCACAGGAAAAGGTCTCTCAAATGCTTTACAAAGTGTCAGGAATACACTCAGCTCAGGTATTAAGATTACTTGTTAGCAGTTGTTTCCAGAAACTGATTTGGTGCCTTCTGACATTAGAATATTTAAGAATTAGAAGATTAAGAATATGCTGATGTTTGTAGTCAAAAAAAAAAGCACTCCTGTAATACATATGCTTTCATTTAGAAGCTTCATTTAGAATAACTTTGCCTAAACCTGCACACCGACTTAAATTTTTCACAAGTAATACATCATTTTTTGATTAAATTGTTTTATCATGTAAGACGACAGAATTTCACAAAAAGGCAATCTAATTACTTTGCACAGGCTACCATTTGAACAGTCTGTTAACAAAATATACTTTGGGATGCATCTGCTTAATACATTAGCTATGACCTTTTTGCTCTGCTCATAGTAGCATAACAGGCTTTATTATGTTTTCAGCCAAATCTATTTATACTTTGACTTGAAGCTGTGATTTTTATCTTGATGTTTCTCCAATTATATAGAGTAAGTTTAAATTAAAGGGCAAAGACATCTCTACATTATTCAGACCTGGGAATGTGTTAAGCAGTAATAATAGTAATAATTACAAATACTACTTTCTAAAATTCAAAATGGCATTAATACTGTTTCCTCCAGAATGTAATGCAAAATGACTGCTATCAAAAGAGTTCTGTCCTGTGCGAGGGACAAAGGGCAGCAAAGCATTGCCATTAAAGAAATCCATGTATCACTGTGAGCATAATCAATATCATCTTGCCTACGTGAGCGACGTTTTATAGAAGTTTTCCACTACTGTTTATATTGGATCAGCTTCAGCTAGTTGGGAGTTGTAGCCCATACAGGACATGACTGTTGCCAGTGACCCCACCTTTTTAACCACATCATGCAATTTCACTTGAAATAACATTAATTCATAGGGGGGTTAAAATATTTATGGCAACTGCCAAGACTACAGTTCCCAAAACTGTTCATATAGCGGAACTGAACTGGGTTTAGCCATGTTGTAGATTATTAGGAAACGCTGCCAGTGCAAACAAGGCTTCAGTTAGTAAACAGAGAGAAAAAAGGCTCCTTCTTACATTGGGAAGAAATTTCACACAGATGTCTCCTTTGTGACCTTAAATACATTAATCATATATTCTCAGTTTTTATTGCTGTGATATTTTTGGTTGTTGAAAGAGAAGGGCGTATCTACTCCACTCTCTGTGCTTTGGTTTTAGTGTAAAGTCGCCTACGTGGTTGCGAGTCCCCCTGAAGGAAAAGAAATGGTCATTCTTCTCATGACTGACTGCTCTTTGTCCCTCAAAGGACCATCAACTTTACAAAGACATAATTCACCTCCACTGATGCACAACCGTAGCAGAGATATTACTGCTTTGTGGTGCTATCAAGTAATAATGTTAGCACTCACATCAGGTGGTGTTGCTGACATGTCTCCTCATTATTTGAGATGATGTTTCTGCTACCTGGTTTTGCAGACCTGTCTCAACATACTCAGCTCATGTCCGCTAAAGCCAGAAATGAAACTTTTAACCAGAACCAAAATGATACCAAACTGGAGAACGCGTCACTGTGCTAGATACATAATAATGACTCATCACTACCACTATTGCACCATAACGTGTGTTTAACAGCCATAGGAAAGTTTGCATAGGGTACCCTGAAAATATACCCCTACTGATGCTGCTTATATGACTACAGTATTTGTCCTTTATTTAATGTTCTGGCCAGAATCAGTTACGTTACTTTTAACTTCCTCCAACAGACCAGCTCAACGTCAAGACCAGACCTTTCACTTCAGCTCATTTTTTTTGATGGTGAAGAAGCCTTTGTCCGGTGGTCCCCTTCCGATTCCCTCTATGGGTCTCAACACTTAGCTCAAAAAATGTTATCTACTCCACATCCACCTGGTTCAACAACCACAAATCAGCTGCAGGGCATAGTAAGTGGCTTTCACCTCCCTAATGAGTAATAGTAAATTGCATTTTTTAAAATATTTAATTAGTAAGTAATTGGCCAAATTCCCAAGAAACCATGAACCCCACCAAAGTTAAAGGAAGAGGCAGGCTTGTGGAAATTTTATGAGATGTGATAAAATAAGAGAGTTGGCAAGAGCTTTTCAGGTTAATCTGCTTAGACCTTCTCCATGCAAGTATGAGGAGAAGTCATAGAAAAATCAAAGTACAGAAATTTATTAGAATATAAACTAGGATACCCACCTTCTTCGAGAGAGATAATTCAAAGTGATTAGGAAAGAGCACAGACATAGTATCGGTCTGTGAACAAATCTCCCCTAGCTCAGTGCTAAGCTACAGCAAGCTTTCCGTTTCCCTTTGATTCCTGCTAACATTCTGGTTGTCTGCTCCCTTCTCCCTACTGCCTTCTACCTTCCCTACTCACTGCTGAGACACTTTTCTTCTGTCGCTGTATCTTGCGACTCACAAAATTTCTTTCCCTTGACAGACTTTGTTGTTCTCCGGGGAAGAAGCAATTTCCTCTTCTTTCTCCCCACCTGCCATAGTTTTTCCTTTAAAGGGATATAACACACAAACTGCAAAGAAAGCGATGCAGTCTGCTTCAGCTTGAGGAACAGGGGAACGGCCTACCTTTTTCCTCCTCGGAAAGACAGCAAAATGCATCAGACTGGAATTGGGTGCTACTAGTGTGTTTCTCCTCAGACATCATGGTAGAAAAGCCAGATCTTTGGCCAGAGCTATCAAAGACTTAGTCATGACCTATACAGGAACCAAGAGGTTTCATTGCTGCTCCTGGTGTTGTAGTAATGTAAAGAATTCTGTATTAAAGATTCTTTCTTCTGTAGGACCTGCTTGTACTACTGGATTTAATTGGTGCACCAAACCCAGTCTTCCCCAATTATTTTCCAAATACCATTCGTTGGTTTCAGAGGCTTCAAGCAATTGGTAAGGAGAGGGGTATGGGCTTTTGATGAATTTGAAAGTTTAGTGTGTAGTTTCTGAATGTATTAAGTCCTGTATATCAGATTTTTAGATTACTTTTCTGTTTTACAGTTATAATATTTAATAACGTAAACGTTAAATTTGGCGCATCTTAAACCTATACGAAGATTTTAATATTTAATCAATGAAATAACTGAGGAAGATTCCCAGACACTTGGAAGCCATGAAACAGATTCTATTACTGATTGTCACTCTGTGACTCTTGGGAACTGCTTCACTTCTGTGTTGTAGTTCTCACTTCTGTAAAATGATGGTAATAACACCAATCTTGAGGTCTTCTAAGTACTAAACAAATGCAAAAGACAGTCACTAACTCCTTTTTCTTCTTTGATGGAAAAAGCTTCCATGTGAGAGGAAAAATAATTCAAATGTGCTAACATGCCTCATATTGTCCAAAAGTCATAATAATCACTTTCATTGTGATTTACAGAGCAAGAGCTACACAACATGAATCTGTTGAAGAATCACCTTGTTGAAAGGCAGTATTTCCAGAGTACTTTACATCAAGGCTTGGTTGAAGATGACCATGTTCCTTTTTTATTAAGAGGTACCGGAAGCTCTTATATTTTAAAGTATAAGTTCAGTAACAAATGCATCATTTAGTGAATGAGCAAGTGCATATGACCTTGGTTTTCAAGCTTATTTGCTCCAACTTGAGGCTTCCAAATCCAACTTTACACAGGCCAAGAGTCACAGCTTTGAAAAACATACCCAAACAAAAGCAGCGATAAAACATACCCATCATCATTTTGCACGAGCACAGCTCCAATGGCACAGAGATAATGGAAATTTCTGTCAGCAGTAGTGTCCCACAAAGATAGGCAACTCTGATCCAGTGGGATATCACTACATACCACACTAGCCAGCTAGTTACAATTTCTAGGAGCAGTGAAACGCTCAAGGGTCGTATCTTCAAAGACTACCAAAATCTCTAAAGGTCTATTGTCAAAGTTACAGTAATGCTCACTACTGACTCCTGCAAAAACTCACATGCTCAAATTAGACATCCTCATTCCCTAAAGAGAATGGAGATTTCATAACTGTCAGCTTGAGGGGTGGGAAAGGTGCATAGAGTAGCCAGCAGAAATAGCAAAGGACACAATATGCCTGAAATCCCTCCTGGAATTAGGCACATGCCTGAAAACCAGGATTCCCTATCTAAGCATTTCTCCTGGCAGACACCTACACCATAGCCTCTGACTTTGTGTTCATTCTTTTCCTTTGGGATGCAATCAAAGACAGGGAAAGCAGTTGTACTACTGCTGCCACCTTGTCAAGCTACTGGTCAGTGATTAAAGCACTTGTCCAAGTTCAAGATGTGGATTTGATATCCTTCTCGGTTCAAGCACTCAGCAGAGCATCTTCAAAACTAAGGTGGGCCAAAGAAGGGTAGTAGATACAGTAAACTCTTCTGATGGAAGTTTTCCACTGTACAGCAAGGACTACAAGAGTCATATTGCTAGAGAAGGGTTAACCAAAAAGGAATGTAAAACTAGTTCAATGAAGAAGGTATCCACCTACATAAGGAGGGAGGTATCTTCATATCCAGGCCCTAATTTTACCATTGCTTATGCTCTGTTAACTACTGAGTAATGTAAAATGCGCACACAGCTCTGGATGCAGGCACAAGAGCAGCTACACACCTCTCCACTTCCAAGCGAGTGCTCTCTTCACTGAGCTATCAGTGAACTTGTTACTGTCTGCTGTAGTTACTGTCTCCTGCTCAATGGCTCTTCAACTCCATGAATCTTTCATTTTTCACACCAAGGCAGGGCCCAGGTCCAACGAAACCAACACAGCCATCATATGCACGTCCAGGGATATCAAAAATCCTACATGGGAGAAGCTGATAGGGGAAAACAATCACTACACCTCAAAACCTTTTCTAATAATATGATTAACACCTAGTGAAGAAAAGATTCCTTAGTAGTATGCAACTGAAAACAGAGAGGAAAAGCAGTAAAACAGGAAGAAGGCTGGAGAGAAACAATGCTCCCCCAAAAAAGTGATCAGGAAGCAAAAGACTGATTTAACTTTTATCTTAAAGTTGCAGTATGTGTAGGTGGCTTGATGTGTGTGTGTGTGTATATATATATATGTAGTGATACAGATCCTTTCAAGTGGAAGTTCTTTTATCTGAGGATAACTGTGATTCTATTTTACAGAGTAAAAATACAGACACCCTATTTTACCATTTATGGAGAGGACTAAAAAATGCTTCAAAAAGTGCTCGATCTTAACATTGTCACAAGAACACGGTAATCAGTTTTCAGTTTGGGGAGCTGCAGTGGTTCCTCTGCCCTTCTGTAGCTCCTAAACACGCTATCAACAACTACAGTGCAAAGGATCTCAAAAAGAAAAAGCAAGTGTCACAGTAAAACTACTAGCTACAGGTGCCTTAGAAAAAAAAAAAGAGGGAAAAGTACTCAAAGGAAAGGAAGGTGTCAATTTTAGGAAGAACACAGTGAAATGGATAGGCTGCAGTCACAGGCTTCAAAAAAAGAGAAGGTAGAAGGAAGCTGCAGTGACACACACTCCTCTATAAAGTAAGCTTATTGAGTAGTTACCTGACTCTATTGCTAAATGGCAACATATCAATTGGCTTAACAGAACTTCTTCAATATTTCTTCTCCAAATTTCACTTTCCTCCTTACAGGGGTTCCAGTCCTACATCTGATTCCATCCCCTTTTCCTGCAGTATGGCATACCATGGAGGACACAGAAGAAAACCTTGACAAAACCACTATCGACAATCTCAGCAAAATCCTGCAAGTGTTTGTACTGGAATATCTAAACCTGTGATAGACAAAATGGCAACAAATTGTATTCCATTTTAAATACTGTTTGCCCACCTTCACATTTGCTATTTAATTGCATTGGAGAGCACTAAAGCAAAGCAAAATATAATGATAGCTCTTGCTAGACTGATTATTGATTCAACTGTTCCTGGCCCAGTGTTCCATGTAGCCAAATAAGATAGCATTAAATAAGAATTAGTTTCAGCCTGGAAAGAATTTGATCTTCCCATGTCTTACCTCTGAATAAAAAAACCCAGAATTTTTCCAGATTGTTATCACTGTTTTACGTCACATATTAAGATCCCAGGAGGGAATGCTTCCCGACTTAAGTGTTAGCTGCAGTTTTTACAAGGTGTGACCACCTTGTGCAGTATTCAGCAATGGAAATTTAAACCACATTATCAAAAGAGGCAAAAATCACACTAAAACAAACTTCTACTTTGGGTTGAACTAATCCCGAAATGAGCTGCTAGAGCTCCTGACACACAGAAGGGATTTTTTTTTAATGATCTCTGCTCCCTCTCTTCCTTCCCCTACAAGGAGAGCTGCAAGGGCTCTTGTCCACAGACAGCAGGCCACCAGGAAATGGAGAAATAACCCAAATTCAATTTTCTCCATCGTTTGTTGGATACTTTTTGATGCAGAAAGGTGATGGGGATTGATGCTAAGAGGAAGGTATGTGGGGGTTTCCATCATGTTTTGACTTCAACACAGGAGATACAAACAGAAGAGTAGGTGGTGTGTGGGAGCAACGCCCCAGCACACACCATTCATTCATGTGAGAATCATTCACAATTTGACCCAAAATAAAGAGATACCTGCTGTTTTTAATACAGATTACATCAGAAGTAACCGTACTAGGAAAGCAACCACTTTAGAAACTATAGTTTTATATAATTTTAAAGGCAAAGTGCTATCTATCAAAAGTAGTATGAGAGTCAGAAGCAAGAAGACATTTTAAGCACCAAAAAGTAAGGACAAGCCATAGCCTGTATCAGAAAGAGATACTCGCCAGTTTAACAACCCTGTGCTTTTACATTCCTTACTGGAATTATGCAATAAATTTAGTATAGCACTCTTACAAAAATGTAGCCTGGAATGAAATCAATAGGAGAAGCCAGAAGAACAGTATTCAAAAGCTACCTACAGAATTATGGTTTCCACTGATGAGAAAAAGATGAGAGCATTTGAAGAAAAAAGAAAAAAGAAATAAAATCAAGCTGGTAGAGGATGAACTGACAAAAAAACAAGTCAGTATTTTACTGCTCCGAACTTCTTCCACTAGAAAGTTCTATCCTGGGCAAAGAGATTTAGAAAGGAAATAAGCTATGGAGTTGTAGGCATGTCAGATTTGGCCTGTATTTTACTATATTCCTAAAGCAAACATTTCTGAACCTAAGACAATATTTACATACATATTTTAAAGCCACCATAGAAACATGTGTTTACAGCAATGCAAATTTGTAAAATTTTACTATTACAGGACAGCCTGAAAATGAAATTCAGACTGGTCTTGTTGCTCAAGATGAAACAAAAGTGTTTTCCCATCACTTTAACATTTGTGAGAAATGTTTCTATTTCGCATGCAACTTCTGAAATAGAATACAATGAAAGTTCTAAAAATTGGACACGTGTTTATTTTTAGATATTACTGTACATCTGTGTAACTACATCAAAGCTATTTGAACTCTTTGCTATCACACTCTCCTCTACTTCAGCCCATGAGAAAACATTCTAAACTACTAAATTAAATCTTCTGAAGTTTGAATACTCTGAGCAGTGTAAGGCACCTACTGCACACTCCTAAGTGGTGAAGAAAGGTAACAAAATGGCTACACACACAAATATTAACATGCGTTTGTGTGGCTAATTTCATTTTTACAGGTGAACTCTTGTGGTACTTCATCCTTTGCCGGGCCTCTGAGAAAATGCTTTATGCATTTGCAGTGTGCCACTCTGCTTCTTCAAGAATTTGAAAGTTAACTTAAAATAGGCTTCATTATGAAATGTGGGATCAGAGGGTTGTTATAACTGGGAAAAGCCCAATTTTTTAAAATCTCTATTAGAGTTAGTTGAAACCATAATTTAACCATGCAGTTTATACCAAATCAATGCATGTCAATTTTGTCACCAACTTCTCAATGCCTGAGCATGCAGTTCTGAGTTATGTTTACTCAGTTCAAAGAAATGAGATTCAGGTTAGTGTAATATGATTCAATGGATTCTCCAAACATGAAGAAAACATGAAGAGGCTTGCCTTTTTTTGACCCCCTTGGTTTTTTGTGGGTTTGGGGTTTTTTTTTGTTTGGTTTTTTTGGGTTTTTTTTTTTTTTTTTTACAGGAAAAGAGGGACATCTCTTAACTGGATGTGAGCCCTGGAAAGGGTTTACTTAAAGAGGGGAGGGTCATCATCATAGCAATTTATATGATCCATCATTCATTTAAAAAATAACTGCTGGAAGGAAGACTTACATCAGCCCAGTAACCACGTGAATCCAAGAATTTAAGCTCCCAAAAGCACAAGAACTGAATAGTCAGTAAAGCAAAGACATGGTGCAAGGTGGGTTCTCACTGCTACTAAGGCAGAAGAAAACAAGCCGGTAGGAGCGTCTAGCCATTTGACAAAATACCTAGAAAACAAAAAATACAAGTGAAAAGACCAGGGCTGGTATCTCTTCCGTTCTCAGTTCCCACATTGAGTATCACTAAGTATCCCGATCCATAGGATCTGGATATGCACAGTACAGATAATCACTTCAGAATTCAGAAACAGGCTTTATGTTGAAGAACCTATATCCCTGGATAGTTTCTCTGTCCCTGTTGGACGGTGGCAGCAGAGGACAGAAATCAACTGGGGGACTTCAACTAATCTGGTAATTACACAAATCAGCAGAATTGCTGCACGGGTTCTCTCCTTGAATAGGATTTGTCACATCCCAGTCAAGGGGGGGGAAAAAAAAAATATCAATCTACCACCTACGAGAGGCTGCTACTGGCTTGTCAGAGTCCTCCTAAAGGTGTACGTGGTTATTACCTGGGTGAAGGAAATGCAGAACAGAATGAACTCGAGCTGTTACTCAATAGGTAAAGCTGCAAACCCCCCCCCCCATTACATTAGTTATTTGTATTGTAGTAGGCGCTTTAGCTCCTTTTATATCAGGACAATGCAGTTTTTCACAAGAATCTTAAGCCTAAGTAATGGTACATGCCCCTCAAATTCTCTAAAGCTTGATGCATTTACCTACAAGTGAAGTGATCCTATGCAATCACAGTTGGAACAAGTTAAGGGAGTAACAATGCCAAATCCTCTGGCAGACAGAAATGACAGTGAGTACCAGTCCTTTTTCCTCTAGCTGGGGCAGCATTCCTATCACCAGGAATGAAGACAATATAAATTAGCAATTCTTATTCACCAGATTTCAAATAAACGTTTAGATTGTGACCACCTAAGAGTAAAATACAATTAGAAAAGACAAAATGCAGTAAAAATGCTTTCTGTAGAATTATTACAAAGACCCAGTCTACATTTGTAGCAGACCCAGCAAAAGTTCTAAAGTTTCACACATCTGCTCATTGAGATTGAAGTATCACCTGAGAGCATCACTTAAACAATCAATATATATAAAAAGATAACTACAAAATCTTGCACACAAATTACCACTTTTTCCTCGTCATTTAAGGATTACACTGATTTTATTTTCCTCATATAAAAGGAGACATTTTACTCTGTGCTGATTTAACAAATATTCTTAACATATTCATAACAATAAAGCAGCTAAAAAGCTGTTCTGATCTCTAAAAGATTCTTTATCATCTGCACATATGAGATATATTGTAAACAATCACTCCAAAAAATAATTTTGTTAAAGTGATTATATTGCACTCAGAATTCTGGGATTCTCATTCTCCCTTCTCATTTTAAATCAAAGATCAGCTTCATTTTTTAATAAAATGGAGCTTTAATTTTCTACTAAAAACAAGTAGGCATGCAATCAATATAATACAATGTATTTAAAATGTCAGAAAAAGGGCAAGTGTTCGGTTATGAAACTGGAGAAAGGAACAATTCTCAAATAGGCCACAGGAGAGTAGTATTTTGTAAACATTCTGCTGCCTCTAAGGTGTTGCAGATGCTGTAGGGAGTGCGGTCCAGTTCAGCACCCAAGAGGTACAGAGAATCTGTTCAAGTGTTCTGTACTTCAGTCAATTTCCATGCAGCGATGGCACATGTAATAGACTACACATAAAGACAGAGTAATGAAACAAAGGTGGTTATTGAGCTAATGCTGACCTCACAGAAACATAGCCAATCGTTACAAGTTCATTGTAATCTTTAAATGCAAGTTTTCCAGGTCATTAACAGTTTCGTTGCTGTGTTAGAAAATGGACTCTTGCTGCAGATGAAGCACAGAACTAGATTCTCCACCTGTAGCTCACATAGACTGTATACCAGTGGCAGTCTGGACACTACCCTCAGCCTAAAACATCCCAGCGAGATACCATCACGCAGAATGTCACCTTGCTTTGTTTGCAAGAGTAACGCCCTTCTCAGTGCGTCAGCGCGAGAAACACAGGTAGTGGAGGGAGGGGGAATGGGAAGGCAATGTCCTTATGCAGAAAAAGAAATCCTCAGGCAGTGTGAAGAGGCCACAGATCTTGAAAATTCAAATGAAGGCTGTTTTTTCTCAACTCAGTTCTACAAGAGAAAGATTTCTCTATCAAACCCATTAGCTTCAGGTAACATTAATATCTTTGGAGTCCCTGAGGTACTACAGCTCCATAAAACCACCTTGGACAAATGGAGAGACTTACTTAGTATACAGATTAACAAGGTGGAAGTCGATATATAGCACCCTGAGTTGCAAGTGAAACAATAGGAATGGGCAACCCATTCCTCAACAGCCAAGAGATGCAGAAGAAAGTGCAGAGGAGGTATTGGCTAGGGAATTAAGAGATACATACTGCACAGGAGAACAGCAAAAAAAAAAAAAAAAAGTATTTCTAAAAGGCCTTTCCCTGTTATCAGAGCAGTGAAAAAGACAGCAGTCAGAGGGAAGAGCTCTCTGAGAAAGGCCCTGAAGAAATATCGCCTTCTAGATGTACAGTCGAACGATAATGCAAAAGCAGACAAGTTAGGCAGTCTTGTTCCAAGTGTGCCCCAA